TGAGGCCTCATAGCTCACAAGTAATTGAATCCCAGCACAAACCCAGCTCCATTTGACCACAAGCCTTAAACACTAATCAGTAAAAGGGAGGGAACTGTAACTAGGAAGGAGGTCCATGGAGAGAGGGTTGGGAGCAAAGCCAGTTTGGGGCCATGTGGTTTTTTAAAAGGTTTGCATATGTGGGTGGATCTGGGGAACCATCTGGGTCTCCTGACTTCTCAACCTCAGCTCCTACCTTTATGTCTTCCTCCACTTGCCGCATCCAGGCCTTGCTGGCCCAGTGGCATCTGCCTGCTGTTTTCAGGGGCTTGGGATGGTTTTAGTCCCATTGTAAATTTAGCAGAAACCACCGTCTGTGTCACAGCTCTGCCGAAGGACACAGCAGCTGAAACCCAGGAAAAGGGGCTGGGCGCCTTCTGGTTTCTACCCAGCCTCAATTCCCTCATGTGCCTTCTGACCTCATTTTGCCATCTCAGCTGCTTGCAACACCAGCTGAAAAAGTTTCTAGGACACGGCCACCTGGTCTGTGTGCTGTAGGTGGCAGGTGTGTTCTTGCTGAGACAGGGCAAGTGAGACAGGAATGTGTGTGGTTGGCATGTTGTTTAACAAAGAAGGGAGAGAGTCCTGCCCTGCAAGGCCCAGGGCGGCAACGTTTGTATTGGGGATAGAGAGATGCAGGGGAAAGGAAAGCTAGACCTTAACGAGGAACTGGTGATGCTGCGGAGGTGCACCAGGTTGTTGCCCTTTGTATGGCGTCCTGCTGAGCCTGCCATTTGGGGAAGTGACGCTGGGTAGCACGTTTTCTCCTAGAATCAAGTCCTTGCTCCTAAAGGGTCTTGGAAGTGAGCTGCCAAGTCAGCACATGCTGGGAGAAATCACACACCTGAATCATGGCCCCAGATCCTTTGGAGACACACAAAGCAAACCAGAAATCAGGGTACCCAGGACCATCTCTGGAGGACACTCGATTAACAAGGGAGTGAGAGATGTTGTGTAATTTAGACTGGAAAGTCTTGAGTCGCTTTAATAAGAATAACAGCTCATATTTATTGAGCTTGTAATAGGAACCAGTTGCGGCGCTACGAGCTAACTGACATTAACAGTTTCATTTATTTCTCCCCACTGACGCTCTGAGGTAGATACTACTGTTATCTCTAGTTTATAAAAGGGGAATTAGAGGCACTGAGGTTTAAGTGATTCATCCAAATTATACAACTATCAAGGGGCAGAATCAGGATTTGAATTCTGGTATTTTTCAAACCTAACTTTGCAAATTTTATCTTCACTGCTTTCTTCCCTTTTTTCTATTTTTTCTTAAATAAATTTATTTATTTATTTTTGGCTGCATTGGGTCTTTGTTGCTGCCCGCGGGCTTTCTTTAGTTGTGGCGAGCGGGGGCTACTCTTCATTGCGGTGCGCGGGCTTCTCACTGCAGTGGCTTGGCTTGTTGCGGAGCATGGGTTCTAGGCACACGGGCTTCAGTAGTTGTGGCACGCAGGCTCAGTAGTTGTGGCTCGCAGGCTCTAGAGTACAGGCTCAGTAGTCGTGGCGCATGGGCTTAGTTGCTCCACGGCATGTGGGATCTTCCCGGACCAGGGCTCAAACCCATGTCCCCTGCATTGGCAGGCGGATTCTTAACCACTGTGCCACCAGGGAAGCCCCTCTTGCCTGTTCTAATTCAGAAATATTATTAAAGGATAACAGATGGAGGAGGAAGAGAGATCAGCTATACAGAAGCCCATAATATTCTCGAAGGCTTGCAAAGTTCCTCTGGCTCACCTGCAGTACGGGAAGGAATAAGAGCCCGTGGGATTTGCACTGCCATGGGCCCTGCAGGAGTCTGTCGATCTCCCCTGTTGGTTTGAAATAATTGCGTGCTGTAGAAACCCACAGCCGTTTCTCAAGTTTTCTTTTTACACAATCGGCTTAGGAGGGTTTTAGACAGGTAGGCACAGTGGACTATTTTTTTGTCTCTTGGGCTGGCACCGTGAAGTGTGAGTGTTGGTTCCACCCTAGTATACTGGCTGGCACAAAAAGTACCAGGCCTCTTTGAGCCAACAGAAACATCTTGATGAGCTTGTGGTTTTGATGAGTTTAGGAGAGCAGAACAGACTTTGGGCTTAAAAAGCTGCTGGACAGGAAGTTAAATGAACTCTTTGGGAGTGCCACCTTAACATCGAGTCCTTTGGAAGAGGTGTTTTAGAAAATGGTACCCTGTGACCACAGGTTATTTATGCTGTATTAGGGTAGTACTTGATACTTAGTATTATCCTGGCCTGGACTCATCATAGACTCAAGTTCAATAATAAGACCTATTACACTCTCCTGCAAGGGCTATCACTCCTGCTGTATTTTGTAGAATGCCTCATGCACGGCAGGGCACACTAAACAGTCAATAATAATGCTTACTATGATAACGACCTTCCTAATGCCTTTCATCTAAGGATCTCAAAGTGCTTTGCAAACACTCATTAGTTAAGCCTCACAGTGGCTCTGTTTTTGTAATACATTTTCCCATTTTACAGAATTTTAAATTGCGACCCAGCAAGCTTAAGTGGCTTGCCCAAAGACATACAGCCAGTTTAAATTAATGATAATGATGATACTTTGCATTTACACGGCATAGGTTTTCTAGGGTGCTATGAGTATGTTGTAAAGATAATTTTTACACTATCCTGCAGGAAGAGGGGTAGCAAGTATTACTAAGTGTTGACTGGATTGGGTAAACTGAGGCTGAGAGGGCAAGTAGGTTGGTGAGGGTTTGACTGAGGATGCAAGGCCATCACTCCGCCTCTCAGAACAGTGTGGCCTCCCAGATAATCCACAATTCTCTGAACCCAGGGACACGTGATCGCTTTCACACTTATAGGAAAGGTAGCTGTATTTGGGGGAGTAGAACAGGTTGCAGAATTACAGCCGTATTTACATCCAGGAATAGTTTGTTCATATCCCCATTGAGAGAGGCAAAAGAGATGACACGAGGCACTTGGAGAAAGGGGGGCTCAGGAAATGAAAGAAACAGGGGCAGTTGTGGGCTGGCTGCCAGCTCTGCTCTCTTGTAGAGAGTCTTCACTAAACCAGGTCCTCCCTGAAAGCAGGAGCCCTCAACGGCTTGGTTCTCCATTTCAGCCTCATGGCAGGACTCCAGTGCAGCTCAGAGGATGGGCACAACCCCATCACTGGCACCTTGGTCTGAAGTGACAGGTCCTCGTGAAAGAGTTCCAGGGACACACAGCATCTTACTGGCTGTCTCTTCCGTTGGACCAGCTCTAGTTCCTACAACTCCCTGTGCCGGGAGGGGCCTGGGAATCCTCTGTGGTTCAAAAAGTAGGTAGCTGTGGATCCATCTGTTGCTACCTTTTCTTAGCAACGTAGCCACATCGAAAAAAGATGAAAGCATGAACAAAAACATGCGAAGGTGGTAGGGGACTTGCCTTCTCCCAGTCCCCCGACACTCTGAGTGATCGATGATACTCTGCCCTGCAGGGACTTTGCAGACTTTGCAGCGCAAGGGAGGGGAGAGGTTGCTGGGTCTTAGGAATTCAAAGGGAGATTTGCTGACCAAAGATAGAACCTAATGCTCTATAAACACAGCCTGCCTCAGAAAGTTTGCTCCGCAACCCCGACCCCGCCTTTTCCAGGCCTGTGGATTCTGATTGATGACTAGACCTAGGGCTAATAAGGAGCCTTAAACAAGGGCGCCAAGCCCTCTTCAGGAATGTGTTCACGCACACAGGCCCAATGGCACTAAAAAGTCCGCAGTGAAGAAATCACACCAATGCCCTGCTTCTTCCCGCTCTCATTTTGGAATGTTTCCATACACCCCTACTGCATGGGTGGCTTAAAGGTGCAGGGAACCCGAGGAGGGGTGAGCTCTTGGAAGGAATACTTTAGAAACTTGCTCTGAATGCACACCACAAGGCTATTCTTCTTCAGTGGGAAGGAATCCAGGGAAGACCCTCCCACCCTCTGCGGCTCTTCACAGCAGGGAGTCGTGAGACTCTGCTGCCAGTGTTAGAGCTTGCTTCAGGTGGGACTTCACAGAATACCACTGAGACTTTCTAAGTATGCCAACCACCCAAGCCACAGCTTGCCATGTCCACGTGGACACACTGACTGCAAGGGTGACAGCAAATAATCCTCCTGGAGCCACAAGGACCACGCCCTTCTCTTGAAATGTCCCCTTACCCAGCTTCCCATATCCAGGTCAGATAGAGTCCTGAGGATGTGCCCACAAGGCTGGAGAGAGCGATTCACATTACAAACACCAAAAACATTACTGGGTGATCTCCCGGGGCTCTCCTGCGGCTCTTCATTTTTTTTTTTATTGCAGCCTCTGATGTGTACTTTGTGTATGTTTTATTCATTTTGTAAAGTAAGCCACACCTGTGGGGCTCCTACACACATCTATTGTACTTCACAGCCAGCCTTTCCTGTCAATCACTCTACCCACATATATGCTCCCTTCCCACGTGAAATTTGGGCAGTTAAGTGTCTTGATAACTTTGAACCATTATGAATGAGCATTGTCATCATGGCACTTTATGACTAGGAATGGAAAGATGGATCGGGGTAAAAATGCAAACAAAACCTGACATTTGGAAACTTCTTTGGGATCTCAAAAGCAACAAGCAGTTAGATTTGTTTTTCTTTTTTCCCATCCTCTGTGCGTTTCCCGTGCCCTGGTTTGGCCTCAGAACAGCAGAAATGTAAGACCAAAAATACAATCAAGAAAGCTTTCCTTGTCCTACCACCTTCTGGACGAGGAGCAGGGAGAACCTGGGAAGCTTTAACAATCTAAGCATTCGTGGGTGGATCAGATAGGCTCAGGATTCCACCAAGTCTCAGTACAACGATCACCGCCCACAGAAACTTATACCCAGGGAATCCTCCGCAGGGGGTCTTTGAAATGTAACTAAAAGAACAGAAGCCCCAACTGCTGGTGCAGGCAAACCCAACCTCCAAGTGGACACAGTAGGAACAAATGAGATCTTTCTTACCCCATCCATGTGGATTCTGATGTTAGGCACCAGCTGGAAAGGGCTGCACTGCAGACCTCGGGGGTGAGTCTTGCTCTTCCTGCTGCCCTGTGAGGTCAGCACGCCAGGCCTGCAGAGGGAGCCCCCTCCCCCCGAGCCCTGGCCCGAGCGCACGCCATCCAGAAGGCGCACGAGCAGCAGGTTGGCCGGCAGCGCCTCGATGCTGCAAAACACCAGGGTCCTGCATTCGGGGCACCTCAGCTCTTTGTGGGTCTTGAAAATCCTCTGGAGACATGGTTTGCAGAAGGTGTGCTGGCAAGGGAGGACTTTGGCGGTGACATCGAGCTTTTCGAGGCACACGGGGCACTCCAGAAGATCAAGTAATGTCACATCATCCATTTTATTTTAAAACTCCAGTCCTGACCCGGAGGGGCTAAGTCCACATGGTCAGGTCAGCTGAGCCAAAGGGGCAGAGACTGCCTCTTGAGAGTGTCCGGATGCCTGCCGGTTTGAAGGAGAAAGGAAGAGAAGAAAAAACTGTGAGTGCTCGGAGAGGTGTATCCCACCTACATCCAGCCAGCGTCTCATAAGGCAGTTTGCAAGGACTTTGCTCCCGCACCCAAGTTTCAGATGACTCATTCTGATTCAGTGCTAGCAGGTATAAGCCTCGACTCCAGCCTGCTGGCTGATGTGAGGGAGCTGTCAGCACAGCCGGCCACTGGCTACTTACTCATTGCCTCTCGGTGTGCAAGGCAAGAGGGGGAAACAGAACTGGCCTGTTGAGGGGACAAAGCCACCCCGCTCTCTCAGCCAGGGCTCCAAGGGTGAAAGCCCTCAGGCAGTCCATCTGGGTCTCAAATGAAAGGCCCCTCAGGATGCAATTTCTCTGAAGCTATTTACTCTTTTTTTCCCCCCTTCTTTTAAGTTTATCTGCTATGCACCATACTATAACAAACTGTTTACATAGATAAATGTATCTGAATCTCATGTAGTTGTAGAATTCTTTCCTTCACAATACATCTTCCCCCATTATTTTGTTCTAGCAATGTACAAGAGACATTTCTACTAGAAACTAATTTTCAAAAATTCTTTTGTCAACTCCAGGCCATGTGGCTTGGAAGTTTCTTTTTTTTTGTTTTCTTTCTTTCCTCTCTCTTTTTTCTCACCTTGATTATCTTAGCCTCAGAGACAATAGCCCTCCCATATGATAAAGTTGCACAGCCTGTTTTGTTACTTTGACAATGGTTCTCAGTTTCAACTGAAGCAGATAGGAATTCTGGATTGTGGTCACAGCCTGCAAGAACCAAGATGGAGCAGCGTACACAGGTGTGTGTGTGCGCCTATGTGTGTGTGTATTCTGAAAATCATCCTTGTCCCAGAAACAGTTTCCTTTCGGATGTCTGTAAAGAAGTCTCCCCTTTAGGAGAGTCTCCAGGGAAGAGGTCCCCGGCCCTCACAGCGCCAGGGCTTGGGCGACCGCATTCGCGGGAGGTTTGGCACGACAGCCGGTGGCCCCACTGGTGAATAAAGCAGACAGGACACACCAGGCTGAGAGCCGGCGCCGGCCTTCCTGAGACAACTCTCCAAAGATGTCAGCGCGGGGAGGTGTGCGGGGGCCACTAACCTTGAGTTTGTAATCCCGGCTGAGTTCAGCTCAGCACGGTTCTCGGTTGCCGCTCCGCCAGGCTCCCTCGACCGGCTTCCATCTCCCTGGGAGCTGCTGCCGCCGCTGCTTTGCAAACTTTTACAACTCGAGCCTTACTCACTTCAGGGATCGCTTTACTCAGCCCTGTTAACGCTTTCAGCGCTGGGCGCCGGCAGCGCTTTCCTCTGAGCTTACTGCTACTGATCCTTCCTTTGTGCAACGGAGTCGATTTCTGGGAAGAGATTACAGGGGGCCAAATATTTTGCTAGCTCATACAAATATTTACAAAGTTCATATTTTCACCTTTCTCATTTTCGCTCCTTTCCCAGACGCTGAAACACACTCAGTTATAAACATGCCCCGGTGATTGTGTTTATTTTAACCTTGTATGAGGATTTCCTGAAAACGTCAAACGTATTAACGGTAGCTATGATACCAAAGATAAACCGGCCACCTAAAAAATACTGTTCCTTAAAAATCACAGTCAGTCCTTGAATTGTGAGATTTGAGAGGGACTTGAGTGATCTTTTTGCTCAATCTTTTGAAATTAAAAAAACGATACTGTGGTGGTCCAGACACATCCTTGAAAAGTCAAAGCACAGGAGGGCTTAAAGAAAAAGGAAAAGCAATGTCCCAGGTCCCCCCTACCCTACCCACTGGAGCCTTTTATAGCCCCCAATAATGCTTATACTTCTATTTCTTGATTTATCAATAGTATATTTCTTTTAACACTACAAAGTTACCCAATAAAGTAATAATGATCTTATTATTATTACGTAACACCAGAGTAGTGTAGCCCTTATCTGTGCCAAGCACTGTTTTAAATACTTTAACTGCACTAACTCATTCAATCCTTTTAGCCACCCAGTGATACACTATGCTCTTCTTACCCTCGTTTTACAAAGAATGAAATGGAGACTCGAGGTTAAATAACTCATCCTAGGAGTCGCAGCTAGCAAGAGGCTGGTGATCTGGGCTCTCAACCACCATGTCATATGGTGATACCACTTTAAGGGGAGGAGAGATGTTTGAGGGGAGCTAAACCTCATCTAGGATGGCAGGAAGTCAAAAGATAATGACCCAAAGTGACCAATCAAATTCTCTGGCAGATGAGGCAGCTGTGCCCAGAGAGACTGAGAGATTCCTTGACGTTACCCAGTGAGTTAGGGGCAGAACTGGGACTAGATCCTGGGTGCTCTGTTTTTACTGTATCTTCTCTCTCAAACACAGGGATGACCATTCCTTATCATGAAGAAAGTACTTAGATATAACTCCATGGGAAGACCATAAGAGGGAACCAAGAGGTCTGAGAACAGATCACAGTGGTTTACAGGCTTTTCAAGGTTCTTCTGTGTCAGTTCTGAAAAAGCAAACATGCATGAGGCTCAAAACAGGGGGGAGCTTTGGGATGGAGCAGATGAAGTCATATGTTCTCCAAGCACAGGGGCCTGATTTGGATACATGTCAGTTCCAAGAGATCACTTTCAATTCTTTTTTTTTTTCTTTCATCTCTCTTTTATGTAGGGTGTTTTGAACTTCAGCAACACATCCCACTCCGTTGCCTGTTTCCTTCAACTAATTTCTACTTTAGATTCTGTGCTGATCAGGAAGGCCCTGTAGTTCCAGACCCTTTGGTGTCCCCGCTTGGTAAAGCTGAGCTGTCTCCTCTGTGAGCTGTCCCTCAGTCCCCTCACCCCACAGAAAGGGCCACTCTAGTGGGAACTCCACCTGCAGGGGTGGCCAACATTCTCCCTCTTCCCCTCTCTTGTATTTTTTGGGGATCTTAGTTCCCCACCAGGAAGCGCAGAGTCTTAACCACTGGACGGCCAGGGAAGTCCCCCCGCTCCTGTTCCTAGACATACTCTGTCTCCCTTACATACCCACATCTGCACCTACACGTGCAGGCACACACATGTTTGCACAAGGACAAACATACTCATCATCTTAGTAACGTAACATTTATGCCTCAGAGCAGTGCTAAGACTTTAAACAGACTATCTCATTGAATCCTGCCAACCACCCTATAAGGTAGGTGCTACAACTTTCCTGGAGTCACAGAGGTTGTGATCTGAACCCAGGTTGGTTTAATCCTGGGACCTATGTTCCTTACCATTATTGCTTCCCATGTTATAAAGTCATGTATATGCCATAAGTATACCCATCTATGTTTACCTAAGTTTATGTAAAGATACACATGCAACATTATGTATGCATCCTTTAACTACAAACGAGCCCAAGCTCCTTTCACTCTCGCTGTATGTAACCTACCCAGTCTCATGGCCCCTCCCTGCCCCTGTGTGGCCAGTGATCTCAAAAAGCTTCAAATCCTCCCATCCCCGAGAAAACACAAAAAACCAGCTCCGTCCCAGGAAGGCAGGATAGACCCAGTGCTACCATATTTGACAGTTGAACATTCGTCAGAATGGAATGGTGATGGTAGAATTTTAGACACTGGCAGAGGGCATAGAAAGTTTACACTGAATAGGAGTGGCGTTTTAGCACCTTTTGAGTCACATCCTATAGGCGGTCCCTACCACCACCCACATATGAGGTTAGTCTTAGTGGAAACTTGAGAAATTTTCTTTTGAAGCTTCTGAAGAAGGGGGAGAGTTTTCAGTGGGGATTTCATTGTGGCTTACCCAAATGCAAACCTGGCGTCAAATCAGACCAAGAAGTAGTCCTCAAAAACACAGAAAAAGTGAACTACGCAGGCCTTCCCAGACTCCAGGCTCAGGCCACCAGCCCACTGCTCCCACCTCATCAACACTCCTCTTTGTTTTTGTACAGTTACATAGCGATTACAGACGGTGCTCTTTTTAAATACCTGTGTGATATTTATGAGCTTCTGCTGCTTGTATTTACAAGCGTATCTCGCTTTATGTAAAACAAAACCCCAAATCTGATTATAATTGTTCCCCTGTTCAAGATCCTTCGGTAGATGCCCATTGACCTTAGGATAAAATCCAAATCCTTTTTCTGACCTGTCAGGCCGGACGTGATGTGATCTGGCTCTTGCTCAGCCACCAACTTACCCCCGCCTCTCCCCCTCACTCACACACTCCAGTGCCCCTGGCCTTTTCTTTTTCCTCAGGACAGTTAAAGTTTTTCTGCCAAGGGGTATTTGTTCACGTTCTTCCTTCTGCCTGCAACACGCTTTCTAGTTATTCTCCCCTACTTTACTTTCTTCACCTCCTCCTCTGCAAGTTTTAGCTTAAATGCCACTTCCTCGGGGAAGCCTTCCTTGATTCTCATGACTAGAAAGTTTATCATCCTACGCTTCATGATAGTTATCACAATTGTAATTCACTAATTGTTATAATAATTTACTAAATGCCTGATTCCCCCAAATAGACTGCAAGTTCCAAGAGAGCAAAGCACTTATGATAGACAAACTACTGGATCCCTCATAGTTAACATAGTCACCGGCATGTGGTTGATGCTTAATAAATGTTTGTTGAAAATAAATAAATAAATAAATAAATGTTTGTTGAATGGGTTTATGAATGAATGAATGAATGAATGAATGGTGTTCTTAAAAAACTGTGTCTGGGCAGATGCTGATAATGGTTTTATATTGGCGACCTCTTGGATGCACTTGGATGTTCTCAGCCTCACCTCTAATGCTAAGAAGTTTCACCAGATTCAGGCGAATGCTACCTGGCGCTGTCGGGACCCTGCCATGCACCTCTTGCTTCCTGTCGTCAGCTTCTCTGACGTTGCAATAGGGACACCCGTGGGAACTTGCTCTCCAGTAACAAGTGCATGATCCAGAACTGTGGACCACCTTTCACTAATGGGGAATCTATGGATAAATGCTTCCTCCATTCAGCCTTTGGAGTGGGCAGTCCTGAGATTTCATAAGGCTCTTCAGAAGGTTCTGTGGGACGAGTTGCACTCATCGTTGGGTGGCTAATACAATAATGCGTCCTTATGTTATCTCTCCCTCATTCCCTGTAACACTCTTTCATCCGTAACCCTTGCCCCCAAATAAATTACCTCAGGCCAGCAAGCCTTTGTCTCAGGCTAAGATAGTTTCTTTCTTTTTTTTTTTTTTTGGTAGCACCACGTGGCTTGTGGGATCTCAGTTCCCTGACCAGGGATTGAACCCAGGCCCTTGGCAGTGAGCACAGAGTCCTAAGCACTGGACTGCCAGGGAAGTCCCTCAAATTTAAAATTAAATCACAAAATAGCTATGCAGACAATTTTTTAAAACATCTTTATTGGAGTATAATTGCTTTACAATGGTGTGTTAGTTTCTACTTTATAACAAAGTGACTCAGCTATACATATACACATATCCCCGTATCTCCTCCTTCTTGTGTCTCCCTCCCACCCTCCCTATGCTATCCCTCTAGGTGGTCACAAAGCACGGAGCTGATCTCCCTGTGCTATGTGGCTGCTTCCCACTAGCTATCTATTTTACATTTGATAGTGTGTATATATGTCAATTCCACTCTCTCACTTTGTCCCAGCTTACCCTTCCCCCTCACTGTGTCCTGAAGTCCATTCTCTACGTTTGAGTCTTTTTTTTTTTTTTTTGCGGTACGCGGACCTCTCACTATTGTGGCCTCTCCCGTTGCGGAGCACAGGCTCCGGACGCGCAGGCTCAGCGGCCGCCATTGGCTCATGGGCCCAGCCGCTCCGCGGCATGTGGGATCTTTCCGCACAGGGGCACGAACCCGTGTCCCCTGCATCGGCACGCGGACTCTCAACCACTGCGCCACCAGGGAAGCCCTACGTCTGCGTCCTTATTCCTGTCCTGCCCCTAGGTTCTTCATGACCAATTTTTAAAAATTTTTTTTTAGATTCCATATATATGTGTTAGCATATGGTATTTGTTTTACTCTTTTTTTTTTTACACCGTTATTGGAGTATAATTGCTTTCCAATGGTGTGTTAGTTTCTGCTTTATAACAAAGTGAATCAGTTATACATATACATATGTTCCCATATCTCTTCCCTCTTGTGTCTCCATCCCTCCCACCCTCCCTATTCCACTCCTCTAGGTGATCACAAAGCACCGAGCTGATCTCCCTGTGCTATGTGGCTGCTTCCCACTAGCTATCTATTTTACGTTTGGTAGTGTATATATGTCCATGCCACTCTCTCAC